TGTCAGTTTTCGGGACGAGGAAGATAATAATAATAATAATAATAATAAGTGCCATTTATTAGACTTCTAAAATAACATAAAGCAATATAAACGGTAAAAAAAAAAAACTATATTGTAGCCAGAAGCCTAAGAGGGCGAAGTTCAGATGTTCAGCATGAACATGTGATACATCTGCTCTACCACTTAACCCTTAATATCTAGTAGTAATACATTACATGGAGGTGGAATAAAAAATTAAATTAACAAAGGCAGAAGCTATTGATGACGATAAGAAGAAAACTAAAATACAAGAAAAGGAAGGAAATTGAGAAAAAAAAAAAATAGACGAAAGAAAGACAATGATATTACTGCTGATTATACTGCCTAAGCAACAAAATACCTTGAAAATGGTTTTTAAATGTAGCGCTATTCATATTTTTTTTTAATTCATTTGAGAGGTCGTTGTATACTTTGGCAATATTATAAGCATAACATCTTTCATACCTGCGTGTTTTGTGAAATGGTGGTGTCAATAATTTATAGAACCGCGGATTTGAACTAAATTTTAGAAGATCGTATAAATACGCTGGCATTTGATTTATAACAATTTTGTGAAATATGCAAGCTGAATGTAACAATCTCCTATTAGCCATATTTAACCAACCGAGCTCTTGTAGTTTGTAAGTAATGCGTTCATGCTTTTTGATTCCAAAGATCAAACGAAGACAAGAGTTTTGCATGTTTTGGATTCTATATTCGTGTCTAATAGTCAAGCAGGGGCCATAAATCACATCACAGTAATTAAAGTTTGACAGCACAAGTGCCTCACGTAGCAATACTTTTAAATGTCTACTTAAACAGTGGCGATGGGAAAAAATCATTTTTAGATTAACATAGGCTTTCTTACATGACTCCGAAACATGTTTACTAAACCGCATATCACTGTCAATATGTAATCCTAAATTTTTTACGCAGTCGTTGATGGGTAACACCATGTCTTTTACTTTTATTGTCAACCATCCCTTTCTTGCGTCCTTTTCTTTGGGTGGTCCAAATAACATAGCAGAACATTTGGCAGGATTGATTGCTAATCCATGCAAATCGGATAATTCGGAAAGCCTTGCTATATCAGCGTTTATATTATTAATTGCATGTTCTATATCAGACGCAAGGAAGGGATATAACAATTGGGTGTCATCTGCGTATTGGTGAAACGCCACGTGTTTAAGTGAGTAATGGAATTTACACGTATATATCGAGTATAATATCGGGCCCAATACGGATCCTTGAGGTACACCTGCTGCAAGTACTTCACGCTGTGACGTTCGTTGCTTAAGAACAACTTGCTGCCTCCTGTTCGTGATATAACTCTTCAAGAGGACGCAAGCGTCGTCACCAAATCCAATATGATGTAGGATGTCAATAAGCGTTCTGTGATTAATTGCATCGAAGGCCTTGGAATAGTCCAGTAAAATCAGAGCTGATAACTTTCCTTGATCAGTAAAGGTCAACAAGCTGTTTGTAATATTTAGAAGTGATGTGGTACAGCTGTACCCACGTCTAAACCCAGACTGTGTCACTGGTAAGATACTCTGCTCTGATATAAAGACATTCATTTGCTCGACCATAACCTTTTCCAAGACCTTCGACAACACCGGCAAAACACTTATAGGACGCAAATCATTAAATGTTTCCGGTTGTTTAATTTTAGGTAGCGGAGTGATGTTCGCTATCTTCCATTGGTCAGGAAAGGTATTGGACTTCAAACAAAAATTAATAAGGAATGTTATATGAGGTATAAGCAAGGGACAACATAAGATAAGCATTTTAGAACTAATGCAATCAGATCCAACTGCTTTAGTTGTAATTTTTAGTAGCAGTTGTTGTATTGCAACTTCATCCACTTCCTTAAATTGAAACAGATTGGTGGGTATTGTTCTGGGAATTGTATTGTAAAACTGTTCCAATTGCTTAAAAGAGTCAGTAGAAGCTGTTGTAATATTGTTTCTAGCAAATGCGGCGTTAATAAGGTCAACATTGGACAAGTGCACTGGAATTTCAACTTGTTTGGATTTACTATAAATATTCAGAGAAGATAAATGATCCCACACTTTGCTATTCTGTCTCAGTTTAAATTCCAAATAAGCTTTTTTTTCTCTTTTTACCGCCCCACTTGTGAAATTTCGCATTGTTTTGTAAAATTCCCAATGGCACTCTTTTCTAGTTTTCCGAAATTTCCTATAAGCAGCATTCCTTATTTCAATCATCAATTTGATGTTGTCAGTTAACCACGGAGCCTTTGATTTAGATATTCGTACCGTTTTAACCGGTGTTTGTTGATCAAAAACACTTAATATCTTTGTGTTCAAAAATGTCACCATGTCATCTACATTATTATACTGATACATGAGATTCCAGTTTATCTGTAGCAGCGCGTGGTTAAATAACGTAGCATCAAATTGGCTAAAATCACGGTAAGTATAAAGAAAAGGTTTGGTTGTTATTTCAGAATCAATTGGATATGCACAATATGTTAGGCTATGGTCTGTGACTTGATGCATAGGAATGACTTTGGTAGTGTTGATGTTCTTATCTATAGGGACCATAATGAGATCAATTAAGCTGGAACTTGTTTTAGTTACTCTTGTGGGTTCCTGCACTATTTGTTTCAAGCCCAACACATCCATCAAGGTAAAAAATTTAGTGACGTAAGGATCTCCGATTCTACAGACGTCAATGTTGAGATCCCCCAAACAAATAATATCCGCATCAAGAGGCAGAAAGTGTGTTACACAATTTTCAAAGCTTTCAAAAAAATCCGTGCATGAAAACTCGTGCCTTCTATATAAAGTACCTATGACCAAAGTATTTTTATCCAATGTCACCGTTATCCATATGTGTTCCATACTATTATAACTAGTAATCTGTTCAACTTTATATCTCAGACTGTTTTTTATGTAGATACCCACACCTCCACCCCACGTACACGTAACCCGATCTTTTCTTTCAAAGGTATAGTTTGTTATACTAACCATACTACCACAAATATTCGGTGATAACCAAGTTTCGGTTACTCCTATAATGTCATAATCATTAGACAACACATGATCTTTAAACTCCAAAAAATTGTTTGTGATCGATCTTACATTAACATGAGCAATTTTAATATAATTGCATTTTCTATACACTAACATTCATGATAAGTCTCCAATAAAAAAGAGAAGATATTTAATATATACAGATATTAATAGGTATGAAATTGTACATGGAATAGTGAAAATAAAATCAGATACCATAATAACATTGCAAGTCTTGTAATTGATAATACCAGTAAACTAATCTAATTAAGACACTCATAACTATGATAATAATAATGAACTTAACCGTACAAGTACATATGTGGCAAAAATAATGAAAAAGAATAAGAATATCATTTAAGCAAATTACAATTATAGGTATCTATATAAGTTTTAGTGAACGTCTTTAAAGTCCTCAGTTGATTTGATAACAAAAATCTTACTAGAATCAGTTTTTCGCATGGCAATTTGACCGTTCCGCACCCACACATATTTTAAGCTATTTTCCTTGGCATATTGTCTTGCTTTTGCATACAACACGCGGTTAGACATAGTTAAGGATTCATTAATATAAACACTACTGCTCGGGTTAACATTGGGAATATTCGAAAATAACTCGCCTAAATCACTAACTTGAATACTGCGTTTAACCTTTTTACACATTAAAAATTCCTCTTTATTTATTCGACTTATAAATTTCACGATAATACCCCTTGGCTCGTTCGGCTTGTTCGGATTCTTAGACAATCTATGGCAAGCATCTAGCATAGTCTTCTGTATTGGAAATCCAACAGCTTGACCTACGGCAGCAACCACATTCACGATATTTTCGTTACGAATTTCCGGGGCCCCTTTAATTTCCACACAATTTTTACGAGAGTATTGTTCAATGTCATTCAACCTAGCCTTTAATTCAGAGTTTTCTTTTACTAAATTTTTGTTTAAATTTTCCAATGCTTCTATTTTGCTAAGACATTGCTCAATTCTTACATCTTGTACTTGAAGTAATTTTGAATTCGCATCAATCTTTTCATGGCATGAATCTAGTGACTTACCGAACGAGTCCTGATTGTTCTTTATGGATATCATAAGCAAGTAGATTTGATCCAAGGTAACGGCCTGATTGGTAATCTCGAGGCAGGCGTCACTTTCAGGAGTTACTTGAGATAGAGTTGTTGCTTCTGGACATCCACTTATGCAAGCACCACATTTCCACTTTTTTAACTTATTACTTGACATTAGATCATGAAATTCCTCAATGTTTACATTAACGCATTCAAGGTGATAAAATTCCCGACAATCAACACACATAATTGAATCTTCGTATCGCCCAACTTTATTATCGCAGCTCGCACACACGATACCACGGTTAACACTTAATTTATCTGCCATTGAAGTAATTATTAAGAAAATCAATAATTTTTACATTAGTAAGTTGTCTTATTAAAATAAATAAGAGCTCTATGCAACACGTCTGCAACATTCCACTTCACTAGAAGGAAATTCTACTTCCAATTTTAAGAAAAACTTGTGGTGCCGAATGTGATGTTTGTAATCGTTAATTATATTGTTCTTTATTCAATCAATCTTAAAATAATATACCTAGGTAGTGTATTTTCAAAACTCGATAACCCGGAAACAATTGAATTTGGGTATATTATGCTTCTTTTGCTTAAAATTGGAATAAGAATTGAAATATCGAATAATATACAGAGTGTTCCATTTAAAAAATGCAGTTTTGGTGTGCCACGCCTTTATGATCAACCCTGTATAATTAAAATTATTAGTGCCTGGTAGACATTGAAGAACCCTAAACCTTTTTTCGATACCTTGCATATTTTTGCCGATAATTGAGTGTTATCGGCGTTTATTTTGAAAACTCGATAACCGGGAATATCAGAATTTTTCGCGCGTCAATCTTGAACGTTATCAGAAGGACCCAATAACACCTTTATTAACAGATTCATTCATCACAATATTTGACTTCTGTCCAGATACGACTTTATCATTCCGTTGAAATTTCCGATGAGCCCATCCATCGTGCCGTGGGTTATATTGTAAAGCACCAACTGAATAATGGGTTTCAGAACTGGATTCAAAACCCATACCAGCACGTTTGCGAACCACTCCAAAATGCTTCCCTTAAGGTACAGAAAAAGGTCTCTGCAATTTTTAAAATTACCCTTTTTGTTTTCCCGCATCGTTAATACGTACCCCAAATTTTCAAGATCATGCTTGATAATTCGCGCCTGCAGTTTTGTAACATCTATCTCAACATCGATAAAGAATGCCGCTCCTTTAATGGAACCGTACAACTCTCCTTGAGGACCTAGACCAACAAATTGCGCGCGGTAGTTGTAATTTATCTGAAATAAACATTGTGCGGTGCAATATACGTACTTAGTTTGAATTACCTCTATGTGGTCGAACTTTAAAGGAAAGGTTACTCTCAAGTTGGGGAATTGATATTTAAATGTGACATCTCCATTACGTTGAATTTTGCCAACTCCTGTCAATTTACCGCTTTTCAAAGACACTTCCCCCCACAATGCGTTCTGTAAAGACAACAATCGTTTTTCCTCGCTCGCAAAACCTACCCTTACGTACCCATTCGAATGACTTTACCTCATCGGGTAAACCAAGTGGATCGATACCTTTCTTTTTGAGGACACCGTCCAGATCTTTCACCACTTCGTCAATGAACTTGTTCATTACTGCCACCTGTTCCGGTTTGTTTGCTCTGGAAATTTTTGAAGTTAACTTCAAAAATGCGAACTTGGTTTACCTTAGCAGTTGTTTGAAGTCATTGTTGGAGAAGAGCCGTTGGAAGTTGAAGGTGCTAAAGTTGAACGCTATTGGTTGAATGGTGTTGCTTGTTGCAACCCCAAGGAAGGTCGCGACGAGGCACAATTTTAGGAGTTTCATTTTTAACAATTTGTTTTTTTACAAATAAAACATGCTTATATACCTCTTCTTAGGTAATAGATTTATCTGTGATAATGATTGATAAAGATAGTTTCTTTCTACGTTATGTATTATGCTCGTATTTTCTTTATGTTCACCTCACTTACACACGTCTACTTATAGACCGAATCCTTTATGTTGTTGTGTATTTGCTGGATGAATATTTTTACAGTTTGGAAACGATCTTACATTGTCCATCATTAAGAATGAGAGAAATCTACTCTTTAAATTGGGAACACGTGTAGGAAAGATAGATCAAGTGTTTTTGGACAAACATGTCTCGACAATCACTATGATAAGGCGAATAACAAATAAACCGAGACAATCGAAGCACTCGACAGATAAACTCTTGCTTTCTGAATTTTTATGTCGAGTTCTGTAGTTTTGGTGACGTTTGATCTTCTTACTTGGACCAAGAGCAACCTATATACCGAAATACAAACCCTAAGACGCTAGAGATACTTTGTAATGGAGTAGATTTGTTGTTGATCTGTTAGCGTTTGACTGTGAATCCAAATTTTGCTTTGAAACACGAAACGCCCTGTATATACAGCAACCGTTCTGCGCAACTGCAGAAGAACAGGGGATTACATTTCGCATAAAATGCGATCGAAGGAATGTGGCGTGCTCCAAGCTTTGTTTTGTATGTACCGCTACTTGCATCATCATGTTTGTTTGTTATACTCTACATGCAGTTCTGCCTTCATATTATTTTATTCAGTATTTATTTATGCATTCATGTGAAAGTGCGCAGTTTCATTTGTACTTCCTCATATTTAATTAATTTGCGGCCGATGCCATTTTGATGGGGTTCTTCCTGGTGCTTCAAAACGCGTATTTCCGTAAAAAAAGTGGGGATCATTGCAATACCTCCCTTATTGACGAGCGGGTGGTAACAAAACTTAGCTGCGATATACGGTCGTTTTACAGACACAGTGTGGCTACATGTAAATCCAGATCCCAACGTTTAAAATCTTCATGCGGTACGGTATAACAAAAAACCCTTCCTACGAATCAATCTCCCGACACGGCATCCGGACAATCCCCATTCTGACTTCCGCAAACCAACCAAATGAATGCCCCGATTTCTAACCGATTTCGCCTAGCAACAACTTTCAAAGTGCTAACCGCATTACAAAAATCGCCATCTGGCCTCTATATCCTCTACAAGAAGGTCGTGCAAAATTTACGAAAACAGCAAATCAATAATTTTACTACGGCGTAACCAAAATCCCTACTACACTTTAAGCGTTACATTGCACCACCATTTTGTGTATTCTTTTTCATACTTTTTTTTGCGATTTCCGTGCTAATGAATTATTTAAAGTGTTTTCATTCTGATAATTCAAATAGGTTGTCACTGGCTATTGATTAAGTTTAATCAATGATTACAATCCACCTTAAGATAAGATATTTTACAATATTATTTCTCTTCTTTTTTTATATCCCCGTTAAATTTATCTGATAGAAAACCTACCGTGTGAATTCATTTGTTTAACCGTCAGATAAATTTAACCGCAACAAAAAAGAATTCGCCTGATTCTGAAAATTCTTTCATTTCTTTGAATTTCTTCTCGATTTTAATTCTTATCTTCAGATTGTGCGGGTTGTTTAGACTTCAAAGTCCCTGTTTGAATATATTTAAAATCTGTCGTCAATTTTCTTCCAAATCTACAAATACCCCCTCATTTTCTTCAATTTTTCAATTTTTTTCAAACTGTTTACGGTCTCACAGTACAGCTCGTCTTATTCGGCCGGCCATAGCGAATAGGAAATATTGTAATGTCGACAGGAGGAATGGTAAACGGCCTACAAAGGTTGAAGACCCCAGTTGCATAACATAAAATTGGACCTCTACGGCACTGGCATAAAATTTACTGTGAAAATTAAGTTTTAGTTTACCCGCGGCTAGCTCAACAATGAAAATTTTTTTATACCCCCTACCTTGCTGAAGTTTGGGCCTTTATTTCCTCTTAAAATCTAATGCTCAGGTTTGATCGAATTCTAATAAATGCACATGTGAACTTAGCAAAGACGATCAATTTCCATTTTTCTTCACATACGCGTAATGCAAAATTCCAATCAATGAACCAAAACACCCCAAATCCTTTCTCTGGGTTCGATTCTTATCAATAAATACAATACAAAATCTGATTCATGCAAATAATTCTCATGGGTCGATTCTTTTAGGAATATTAAAATTACGTTAAACAAATTTAATACCTAAAAATAACCGACCACTAGTTTATAAAAAAAATAATTGACGTAAGTAATAAGAATAAAGGAATAAAATGCCAATGTTCTGCTCTGTTGATATTAATTTTGTAGACTTTACTTTTTATCCGTCCGTGTGCACTCTAACGAATTGAAGTTAAGCACGATGCAATTTGCTTATATAGCAAACAAAAACGTCGAATAAACACATTATATTTCCCGGTATGCCCAGATTTGGGAGTCCAGTGACGATTATCAACATGCCGAACATTGACGATTTATGCCTTAAATTTACATCCTTTATATCCCAAATTGTAAAATGTTGCATTCTAAATTGAAATGTGAAAATGTAAGTGCACCCCACGTCTCATGTTTGAAACGTTGTTTCAGAATTTGTCCCCTTCGTATAATATGATTAAAAATTCCAATCCCCATCCATTTTCTTTATTTCTTTCTTCGGAAAGTTTATTTAATAATTACAACTAAAAAAAATTAGGTTAGGAGCGATAACTTTTTTTACATGATCCCATACATTAGATTATTCAACAGTCATGATAAAGAAACTTGTTTTTTTTAAATAGAATATCTCCAGATTTTAAGGTAAAAAAATAGTGCACTAAATTCTCTTTTCAAAAATATAACAAACAAAATTTCAAACAAATTAAAAAATATGTTTGAATGTTGTGTATCTTTTTCACTTTTTTTGTAATTTTGTTTGTGTGTTATATTTTTGAAAAGAGAATTTAGTAAGCATACTTATTTTGTTAAGTTAAATCTAAGTGTTCTATTAAAAAAATTAGGTTAGATGCAAGAACTTTTTTACCTAATCCCATATACTTATTTTACAAACGTCATATTATTCATGATAAACAAACTTCTGTTTAAAACATTTCTTTGAAATAGAACACCCTTGAGATTTCAACGTACAAAAATATAACACACAAAAATTCGAAAAAGATTTTAAAATGATTTTTGAATTTTTGGAAATTTTATTTGTGTCTCGTGTTATGTTAAAATCTATTTTAATTTTAAAAAAATGGTTTGGTGCGATCGCTTTTTACTTGATCTCATACTTATTTGGAAAACGTCAGATTATTCAACAAACATGTTAAAAAGACTTTTGTCTCAAACATTTTTTTAAACAACATCCTTTTAGATTTTAACGTAAAAAATCGGTATACTAAATTTTCTTTTCAAAGATCTTTTCTAGATTTTTTTATTTCATGGTGTGATATATTTTTAGAAAGAAGCAGAGAATTGGTTTATTTCATTTGAATTTGCATTGCCGTAGTGTTATGTTTCCTTTTTACAATTGTTCGTAACTGCCTATTCTTATTAAGATTTGTTTATTTAATTGTCGATACACTCGAAAACTTAAATAGTTATAAAGAATCCTAAAAACGTTTAGAGGCATATGCCCAAGTTCTTACCAGCTAAAATCTCTGAAGGACATTCAAGTGCTCTGCTATTTTGCATTGAGAAAATTTTAAATTGACCAAAGGGCATCATGTGGCTGTAAAATCCTTTTTTTAGTACAAAATTCCAAAATTGTTTGATTTTCCAGGTTTTTTAACATTTTTATTTGTCTATCTATCGGTCTTATCTTCAATATGACCGACTGTAAGTTTTAAAATTAACACCCCGTATAGAAACAAAAACGTCGAACAAACACATCATATTTCCCGGTAAGAATGCGTCACATCCGCCCTATCGTCAATGACTAATCCTTGATGGTGACCTGATGGCACCACGATGTGGCTCTGGAATATTCGCTACAATGTATAAGATGCCTTTACAAGGAGGTAGGTAGTCTAGTTTAATTTAAGAAACCTGACAGGACACATTTTCGGAGTGTCCACATTTGGGAGTCCAGTGGCAACTATTAACACCCCGAACATTGAGGATTTGTGCCTTAAATTTACATTCTTTGTCTCCAAAATTGTAAAATGTTGCATTCTAAATTGAAATGTGAAAATGTAAGTGCATTTGTGGTTTGAAACATTTTTTGTGCCTCCTTCGAATAATATGATTATAAAAATTGCAATATTCATTCATTTTCTTTATTTCTTTCTTCGGAAATTTTATTTAAAAAATACAAGCGATAACTTTTAACCATGATCCCAGATATGTGCTTATTTTGAAAACGGTAGATTATTTAACAGTAATGTCAAAGAAACTTTTTTTTAAATAGAACATCCCCCAGATTTTAACGTAAAAAATAGTGCACTAAATTCTTTTTTCAAAAATATAACACAAACAAAATTTCAAACAAATTAAAAAATATTTTTAAATGTTGTGCATCTTTTTGAATTTTTTTGAAATTTTGCTTGTGTTATATTTTTGAAAAAAGAATTTAGTATGTGCCTATACTTATCTTGTTAAGTTAAAATTTAGAAGGTGTTTTATTAAAAAAATTAGGTTAGATGCAAGAACTTTTTTACCTAATGCCGTATACTTATTTTACAATCGTCATATTATTCATGATAAAGAAACATTTGTTTAAAACATTTCTTTGAAATAGAACAGACTCGAGATTTTAACGTGCAAAGAAATAACACAAAATTTCAAAAAAGCTTTCTCGATGATTTTTGAATTTTTGTATCTTTTTTGAATTTTTGAAATTTTATTTGTTTCTTGTTAGGTTAAAATCTGTTTTATTTAAAAAAAATGGTTTGGTGCGATCACTTTTTACTTGATCTCATACATATTTTGAAAATTTATTCAATAAACATGTTAACCGGTAACGAGACTTTTGTCTCAAACATTTTTTTAAACAAAACACTCTTTAGATTTTAACGTAAAAAATCGGTACTTATACTACATTTTTGTTTCAAAAATCTTTGCAAAGATCTCTTCTAGATTTTTTTAATTTCATGATGTGATAAAAAGATAATTATTTATCCTTTTGGATTAAAATCTTCAGCATGTCCCATTAAAAAAATGAGGTTAGGTTCAATATCTTTTTTACCCGACTCCGTATACTTATTCTGAAAATGGTAGATTATTGGACAATCATTATACAGAACGAATATTTTCAAATTTTGATGTTACCATTCAAAGCTTTATCCGAGAGCACCTGACGCTTATATTATTTTTTGGTAGCACAACAATTACGTATATACTTACCGTATAAAAGTACCGATAATGGAACATTAAGTACGGGGTGGTTCAAATTCGTGGCTCACAATTGGAATCTCTGTAACGGTGAGAGATTATTATTATTATTATTATTATTATCCCTCTCTTGTTTTGGGCCCTCAACAGGCATGCGCCCAATTACAGAGTGACCCGCATAATGCTATTTAGAGGTACCTCTGCAGAAGGTCTTAAGTTGGTCTATACTACTCCGGTATTTACCTTACGAATTAGGAAAACTGCAGGAAAACCTAATTCGGAGTAGCCGGTAGAATGGAAAAATTCACCTCAACCCAGGTTCGAACACCCGACCTCCGGATTTATAACCCAATAATGCTCTACCACTGAGCCATAAATCCGAGAGATACAGTGTAGGTTAAATAGAAGAAAAGTTGCCCCTTTTTGTGACTAAAAAAACGCATTGGAAGTTTTTGAAAATAAATAAAGATACGGGGGAAAATCAAAAAATTGTCAATTTCAGAGTAGGTATCCCTATATTTTCTTAGTTACAAGAGATACAGAAATATGTTTTGTACAAAAGTCCCTTTATCATGATAGTTGAATAATTTCACGTTTGGGAAATAAGTATATACGGGATCAGGAAAAAAAGTTATGGTACCTAACTTAATCCCTCTAAATTTTAACCTGGCAAAATAGTAGGTATATCAAATTTTGTTTTCAAAAATATCGCACAAACAAAATTTCGAAAAAGATACAAAAAATTCAAAAAGATTTTTGAAATCTGTTTTAGATAGTCACTTGAACTTTTTGTTTTATTTCATCATTGGGATCTTCCACAGTCGAAGATTTCATGGTTGTTGTACACGCAGAACGTTTCGTATTTATTCCCGTACCATAATTACTCTTTGCCCATACTACCATTGTTTCAGTTGTGAGGTGTGTTGCCTAACCATAGAGGTATGTCGTATTTGCTATATTTTAATGTAACATTTCTTCAATGATTGTTTTGCCGCTTTGGAATTCTGGAAGTTTTGATTATAGAATGCCTTTCGTATCTTTGAAAATACAATTTGTAGACCCATTAGAAGCCTTTAGTCTTCCCAAAATGTTTTTCGAATATTGTCGAAAACTTTCCTTTCTGTGGGGTGGAGGTGGAGGGGGGGATTAGGAATCTCGAAGATTATTATAAATAATTTATTCAGCAGCTCACTCTAACGCATGCACACCCAACTACGTCATTTAATAAATTATATAATAAAAAGTGTATACCTAATTAATAAAATTATCACAGAACAAATGTTTGGATATCGATACGTAGTACTAGTCACAATTTTGGGAGACTTAGCGTAAGTACATTAGGAAATGTATAACGGGGATATGTGATGAAGTATCAAATCGCTAAAAATAAGAATTTCCTTATAAAGCGGTACGTTCGTCGTAGACGATAACCGCCTCGTTGTCGACGAGCGAATCCGTATCTTTGTGCAAAAATTGACTTCTCGATTTGCTAAGGGCGATTATCGCCGCCTCGTCGTTTCTCATGCGGTTTTTCCGCTTTTTACTGAAGTTGACCTTCGCGTACAGATCGTCGAGGTCGTCCTCTGTCGATAGCGGCCTGGGTTTCGATCTGACCCAAGCTGGAAGACTTCTGGTTTTTAGAGCGCTTGCGCCTTCCTCCTTTCCATTTACATCGTCTAAAACTACAAAGAGAAATTAATTAAATTAACCATTGAAACTGGTTGAAAAACTAAGCCATAGGGTCCACACTGCATGGATCACTTGGAAGAGGGTGTCAGAAATGTTACGTGACAGACGAATAGAAAATTGAGAAGTTGGAGGAAACATAGAGTTAGGAGGATGATTTGGAATGGGGATAGTCCCTCTGGAGGACGAATGGTGAAGTTGAGACCAAAGAGGGACTGCGCATGACAAAGTGTGGAAAGCCACCGCTGGTACTTACTACTGCTAGAAGCATACTGAGTAGCTTGCGGCGAAAATTCCGATATTTCCGGCATCGGGGCGTGCTTGGTGTGAGCAAGTTCCCCGTTTCCCGTAATATCGCACGGACCGAATCGTATCGGCTGACTGACCGGCCGCTGCTTTCGGAGCGCGTGCGTTTGGTTTTGCTCCGTATTCGGACCGGGATTGCTGCTACTGCGAGGCACCGGGCAGATTCCCGGACACTGCGTACACTGTGGTCCCCCAATTCCTCTACTGCCGTAAACCCATTGGCCTCCTTGACTAGGATTCTGCGTCACCAGGCGATTATTGTAGCCCCACGAGCAACCCTTAGCTTCGGCGTATACGGCTGTCTGGCTGGGATAAGCAGGAGGAGCGCCCTGAGGCACTTGTGTTGTGGGCGGTCCTCCGTCCGCTTTGCGCAGACCTAGAAATGGGGGTGTCAATTAAACTACACGAGGGTGAACGCTTACAGTAATGCTTATCCCGCTTAGGCATAATACAACAACGGTAAATGATGAAGGCAAAGAGTAGGCACACCACGAGGGCGGCCCCACAAAAAACGGCAACAAACAAAGGCAGTCGATCGCTCGATAGTCTCCAGCCCCTCGGCGAGGCAGTGGGCTCTGGCCACATGCTAGCTGTCAACGTTACCCACTGTCGTTGCAGCACTTGGCCGCGGGACTCTCCGGCGTATCCCTCATCGCCTGCAAAAAAAACAAAAATTAATAATCGTCACGATCCGAAAGCGATTTAAATTCTGCACGTCCTCCGTAAAAACATTTGGCACGAACGCGAAAACTACGTGATTCTCCACCGCTGCAAGAAAGTTTAAAGGGGGAATTGTCGAGTTTAACTTTTCCGAATCGATCATTTGACGAGCGCTTACATTTTTAATGAAAGTTCAACTTTTCGCGCTTGCCGAATTAAACTTTATGCGTTTTCCGTGACCGCTTCGACCGTAATTTATTGCCGTTTTAGAACGTCACGTGGTTAGGTATTCCAAATTGATAGCATCAACGCGTTATCACTTATTAAAACGAATTATCCTTTGGGCTGGAAAAACTACCTTGCGAAAACGTCCCTTTTGTCTATCTGCCCTTCTTTCGAAAATTGAGCGAAATACTTTCTAATAGATTTTGGACTGATAGACTAGAAAGATTCTTATTTTTTTTTAATTCTGCGTTTTCTTCCCTCGGTGAAGCTTGTAAAACTATCACATTTGTATATAACAGTCGAACAGCTGAAGGCATAGTTAGAACGCATGGAATTTTAATTGCCATCATCAATATATAGTAATCTCTGGCGATTGGATTCTTAATTGGGGGGTTCCGCAATAGTTAGGACGGATTCATCTACAGTGAGCATTTTAAATATGCGTTTCCTCCGTCTTTATCGTTCGACTGTCGTCTATTATACGATAATTTTCCATCAACAATTTTATGACAGCAATCAATTTTAGTTTTTAATTTTAGTTCAAAGTTGAAACTCAAATTTAATTCAACTGTAAGGACCAGTTCGAGCTTCGGAGAAGATTTACCTACCATTCTATTGACGTACGAGTGTGTAACCTTGAGTTAAATCCACCATTACCTGCCAGATCTTCTACCTGCGGATAACGGGCGGCCATTTTCTTAAATTCGGTCACCGGGTCGAACTTCCGTAACTCCGTGATAACTATTTTGCCCCTTCTGATATCACATTCAATTCAATTTGTTAACATTAATATTTAATATCTGTGTCATCTCGGTTAAGTTATGATTATTTGCAGGTTTTGGATGGGAGAACGAGCTCACTTCCTGGCGTCGACATCTAACTTAAATTAAGGTAAGCGTAGCTCATGTTATCTCCGGTAGTCACGATAAGAAATTTGTTATGTTTGCGAAAGCTAATTAAATTTCAACATAAGAACGTGTTTTCGCCTCAAGTTTAACGCAGGTGTTTAATTTACTCAAAGACACAGAAGGAAAGAAAGATTAGGGAATGTTTTAAATAGAAAAGACGGACGGTAACCAATGCTTTTTTGGTGGTGAACGTTGAATTTATGTTGGGCAGTTTGCCTTATTTGAGCGTATTGTAGTAAGACAGTCAGTCTTGTTTAATTGTAAAGTTATTATCGAAGAAAGTTAAAGAATTTTTTTACGTCGTGATCAAAGTGAACGTTAAGTCTAATTAAGCGGAAGCGTGTTTTCCGGTTTACGAAAAAGTTTTTAGTTGACTTGATTGATTGATTTTATTTCACCTGTAAATGATCCATCAAATTTACTTGTGATTTTGATAATCGGCTTGTGGTAAGCGTAGCCTATTATGTTTTACTGGTACTTGGCCCTATACGTGCGAATTTTTGTCCGAAATATCAATCGATTTCTGATTCAGTAATCAATTTAATCGATCTTTCTTGAATGGGGGTTTTGTTAAACTGAGGAATTCCAATTGTATATTGGTGTTACTAAGACTTTTGTGCAACGTGAGTTATAATTTTGAGTATTTGGGGGAGTATACCTCAATTGTATTCGCCTGCGGCTCGCTTGGCACTGCTTTTAAACTATCACTTTGCCATACATTCGGCATTAAAATAGGCATCTCAATAACGCAAAAATAATGGTCATTAAACCAGGCTTTCAGCACCTATAGTAATGTTGGGTCACGCTGTATGTGATTAATTTCATTTAATTTTGACGTCAAATGTTGGTACTAATTTAGTATGAACACAATGTTATTCGAATTTTTGTTTAAATAATCGTCTATTGTTTAAATAGATTTGCGTGTAAAAGTCTATCTCATGTTATCTCCGGTAGTTACGATAAGAAATTTGTTACGGTTGCGAAAGCTAATTAAATTTTAACATAAGGACGTGTTAACGCCTCAAGTTAGCGCAGGTGTTTAATTTACTCAAAGACACGGGAGGAAAGAAAGATTAGGGAATGTTTTAAATAGAAAAGACGGACGTTAATCAAGGCTTTTTTGGTGGTTAACGTTGAAACATTGCCTTTTTAATGTTCGGCAGGTTACCTTATTATAGTAAGACGGTCAGTCTTGTTTGATTGTAAAGTTATTATCGAAGAATTTTTTTTACTTCGTGATCAAAGTGAACGTTAAGTCGAATTGAGCGGAAGCGTGTTTTCCGGTTTCTAAAGTAGTTTTTAGCTGACTTGATTGATTGATTTTATTTCACCTGTAAATGATCTATCAAATTTACCTGTTTTATAATTTGATTGATTGAACTTGTGATTTTGATAATCGGCTTGTGCGATGAGTCTTAATGAAATATTACAAAGTCAGATAATTTTGGAGAATCACAGTGGAAGTGTGAGAGTAACACCACTCTTTTATTTTTCACCCCTGTTTCTTTCACAGCTTCTTGGCACCTCCTTCTCGATTTCTTCAGACACCCATTTTTCGTGTCTTTTTTCACCTTCCGTCAAAATCACACCGGCTTCTCCTTCCTTAACATTGAGCATTCTTTTTTTACCCACACTTCACGACTCTTTCACCGACTTCTGATTTTACTTTCTTCAATACCTTCTTCCTCCACGTCTCTTTCACGCTTTGTGCTTTGTCATTCGGTCATTTGGTACTCTTTCACAGTTCTTTCCTTCCCTTGGACGCAATTCATCACAAAAATGACAATCGGAAAACTCAGACTACGTGACAACGTTGTAAAACGTGCCATTATTAAATTTTTGAAACCATATAGGTCGAGTGGGGTTTTTTTACGAGAAAAAAATGAATCCATTTTAAAAATTCGAATTTGAATGCGCCCGAGATTGGTCTGTTTGTATCCCTTAGAAGGGTGCAGAACGGCTATCATTACCTTATCGTTAAATTTAATTTTACACCGGCGCCGGGGGTTACTGACAGAAAGCGTTATCGGTTAAAATATATGGGAGCATTTTTGCTACCCTTACTTTATAATGAGGCAAGTAAAATTCGGCCAACGTGGCGCGCTTTGTAATATGGATGTTTGTTGCGGTTTTTGCATTGAATGGACAAATCGCTTTCAGGTGATCGATTGAGGGTACAATTGTCAGTAGCAGGGTAGGAAACTGCAAGAGCCCCAACGAGAAATAAAAAAGAAGCGGCGATGTGACATTTCCCCTAAAATGAATTAATTTTAAATTTACGATCTGTGACAAAAAAGGGGTTGCGGTCGTCGGAAATTGATTTCCTTCGCATGCAGGTGGATCATCTTTTAGTTTATTTACTAAACCCTCCACCAATTGAACTTGTGCTCCTTTGAGACATCGCAAGTGAGGACGCTTTTTGAGTTAACACGCGTTGTTCCAGAAATAGAATCTATTTCCATTACATACTGACAGAGTACAAAGATCCCTATCTCAACCCTAATCTACGTAGCGCCACCACTGTCAACATTTAACTTAAAAGCAGATATAATTGATCCTGAAATATCTGTATACCTACAGTTGACGTAATATAAAGATAGCGCTTTTTTTGGAGAGCGTCCAATTTCGTAAAGCCATCGCCAACTATGCGAGCTTTCCTACATTTATAGTATCGGAACCGCAAATCAACTGGGTCAATATTTAAAAATGTAAACCTCCACGCTCGTGCTGTTGTTGCCGCTGCCATTTTTATTGCTTAATTTTAAAATATCCACAACGCCCACAACCGATGATGGGATAAAGGAAAATCGCGTGCCATGTTTCACCCTCGTCATTTCCCGCTATTTTGGGCAAAAAATCTCCGCCGTTTTCGTTATCCACAGAAGAATGTTATGCACTTGAGTTTCGTGCACGGTGAAAGTTCATTAAAATGAATCGAATCTTTGATGAAATTGTTTATATTGTTATATTATTATTTAAATAGCTATAACGTTTGCATCATAAATAAAGCAGATGTTTGACAGTATTTATTGATTTGAAGATGTAATTCAGGTAACATATCGATTTTGATCTTTATGAGACATTCAAATTTCGCGCTCAAATTTTTAATGTCGTTCAACACGCTCAACTGTGCCACTCATTTTGAACAACTCGCTCACGTGCGACCCATCACTGAGCTGGAGGATCAATTTCAACTCCAGATCGGAGAAAGGGTCTCCGAGAATTCTATAGTCGGTCCGTGCAGAGTACAGAAGGTGACTCGAACGCTTCTAGAACTCCTGATGCACAAACGATAATGGTATTTATGAACAATTGTCCTAAGATTCTAAATAGTTTTGCTTGTGCTTCAGTCAGTTCCAACATCGATGCAAGGTGAAGTGTTATATCATAAATAATAATTGCGGTTACAAAACAATCCATTTCAATTTATTGCGAGTTAATTGTAAATAAATAAATCACGTAATTAAATCTACGTTAATAAAATGAGCAAATGCTTTGCAAGCGATGTGTCGTAGGAGTGAACCATGTAAATGGAGGGAATGTACGAGACAGGATATGCGCCTTTGAAATTGTCCGTTTAAATTCCAGCGATCGACTACCGACCCAAATATGATTCAATTAAAACCAAATATTAGCGATTTGTTGTATCCCCGTAAAATTAATTACACCGGAGATTAAGTACCTACCTACATTATTAAATTAATTTTATAGTCTGTCCGTTTACATAATGCTATCGAAATAAATGTGTGCCATTGATTATGTATACTTTGTAAGATATATGAATTGTTATAAGAAATCGATTTTCCCCATCTCATAAGCAGTAAAAAAAAGTTTGCTTACTTTGACCATAGGGGAATTTCTCG